GTGTAAATTCATTATGCATATCTTGTGTATAACTGTTCTAAAGGATATTATTTTGTGTATTATGTATCTGTAATGTACATTGAAATATTGTGTAAAGTGAAGATCTGCATATGTATGATGCAACCGACTACCCAAGTGTCATGCCAATGAAAACACCAAATAAACCTTGAACAGTGAAAAAAAAAAAGACAGGTAATGGTCCAACATATGTTTCTAAGAAAATGAAACAATTTTTTTCTTATTATAATAAAGAGCATATGATAGGAATATTTAATATCTACAGGCCAGGCAATTATAGAAAGATCAAATTGAGCTATAAAGGGTATGTTAAAACAAACAGAAAGGGATGGAAAATACTTCCAGAAATAGATTACATAGTGCTTTACTAACCTTGAATTTTCTTAATGCTAATTAGAAAGAAACTATGGCAGTGGAGAGATATTGGATAATAGAAAAGACTTCTGAATTAAATCAGCCAGTGTATTTCAAGGATGAGTTGACCTCAGAATGGAACCTAGGAAATGTGCTATGTTGGGCAAGGGTTTTTGCTCTTGTTTCCACAGGAGAAGAAAAGCTATGGATACCATCAAAATTATTAAAGATTCGATTTGGAAAGGAGAAAGGTCTTGAGAAAGAGAAATGACAGCTCATCCACAGAAGTGACAATCATACAGGTGGTAAGAAAACCTCATGAGTGTTGGGGCAGGGTTCTGTTCTTGTCTTTGCAGCAAAACACTCATCTTCAAAAAGTGAAGAGACGTTGGACATTTAGATGCCCAAAGAAGAAACGATAACTATCCAGAAAAGATCACCAAGCAAAGAGAAATCTGACATATGAGGACAGATCATCTACAGGGTAAAATTTCTTTACCTGAACACACACACGCACACACACGTATAAAATCTCAGTATAATAATAGTTGTGACTCACTTAAAAAAATACTGGCTTTGGAGTTGGACAATGGCTATCCTGTAAATCCAAGTATGTTGTTAAAAGAAAAATTCAGAGTTTCTGTCTCATGTTAAGGAGCCATCTGGTATGGGACAGAAAGAAGAAAGAATTTAGGAAAGATTTTACTTTTCCCCATAAATACTTTCACTGAATTTATGTATATATGAATAATGTTTAAGTTTTCCACAATGAACAACAAATTTTCTGCAGTGATCTTTGAAGTTGCCAGGAAGAAGATGGGGCCTCACAACAACGACTCCACCTGGTTGCTATGACACCGTGATGCTGAGAGAGCTAATTGAAGATTGGTTTTGTGTACCAGCTGCTTGAGATGATTACACCTTGGATAGCTGGAGTTGTGCACCTTCTTACAACGTTCTGGACAGAACTTAAAATGAGAACTTCAGAAAAACCCTATCATCTACTTTGCAATTACACCAGACAGTAATTTTGAAACTTAACCATCATTTTACTTTCACGGGATCCCATAGAAAGAACATAGCCCCATAACAGCTGGAAGTAATTTTAGAAGATGACGTCCCCTCTCCCAAACAACTTTGTCCTCAGGGTTAGGGACATCAATTAGGAGTTGATTATAACTGATATAGGGTTGGGGGTTGGGGTGGAAATTATGTAGGCTCAGGGATCTCTTTAAAAAAAGGGAAATTGGATGGGATAATAGGTAGAGTAGTGTGAGCTTACTCATACTAATAATAATAATGAGTAATAGAGTGAATACTTGTGAGCTACTATTTATAGACAATTTACATTGGTATGGATTCTTGTATATTGATACAAATTCAAAATTATATTTGTTGTATTGAATATGCTCCTATTTCTGTTTACAATATGTGTACACCTATGCAGTTATTTTGTCATTGTATGCATGCATGTTTCTACCTCTGCTTAAGATATTTTGTATACTGATACAGTTTTAGAATATTTTTTATCATATTGCACTATACATTTCTACCTCTGATCAAGATACTTATTATACA